TCTTTATATATTACAAGAATCTACATGTTACAAGAAAGATGCAGATGGATAGATCTGAAAAGAAATATTTTACTGAAATCAATAACAATTTACAAGTTGTTTATCTTTGGATAAATTTGTGTTCTGTATTCTTAAAAGAGCCTAAAAAGAGAAAAATAGGGAAGATGCGATAATCTAATAATAACTGGTACAAAATCTTTAGTCACAGGGGCTCTTGAAACAGAATGTCTCACATTTTAATCGCTACAGTTTATTGGCTTAAATAGAAATTTGATGTGAATTTTGAGAGCTGCAAAAATCAGTAACAAATATTACTAGGTTTACTATGTTTTTGAAATAACAGAAATAAGACTTAATGTATAAAGCACTTATTAAATTTCTATGCAAGTTTGTCTGTTCTCTGAACAAGTATAATAATATTTTATAGGGACACCTCAAATGCATAATGCTGGGAAATTAACAAAATTTAAACTAATAAAATCACAAACTGAGTATCACATAAGGTATGGCAGCCAAAGGGAAAAGATCTAAAAACTTCATTCAACACAAACAGAAAACAGGCTACATCACACAGGCACCACCCTCTGGAATATCATCTGTAAGGATTGATGGATGGATAATACAGCAGAACCTTTTCACCTGTTTTATTGGTGCCCACATTTTTAAAGTATATATTTGTATATTAGGTTTGATTCTTACAAAACAGGTAAGTCTAAAAAGAGATTCTGACCCTCCTGTTTCTAAACATGGCTGGAATGCTAATGAGAGTTTATCTCAGTAAGAGTCTTGGTGTGGATCCATATTTAAATGTGTTTAGTGTAAAATGAAATAAAATCAATGAAATGTAAATTAGTCTACTGAAAGTCTGACTAAAACTTGTTCCTGTCAGGCCCACATATTACACTGCTATGATTCAGTTTCCTGCATAGCTATACGCTTTGAAATATGATTTTCAAGCCACAGTTGTTGGGTTCTTTATACCAAAACCAGAAGTACATTATAATGGATGTGTGTAGAGAAACATAGTGAGGAACACACTTTTTCTATAAAGGTTAGCCACAGGTTCATGGAATCTTCATAAACATGACCTGAAGACAACATTTTCTCTGCTGCTGTTCTTAGGGACTGGCAGTCACAACAATGCTGCTCCTAGCCATTGACAGATTATGTGCCATCAAGTTACTGTCAGCTTTTAATGTTCTAAGTTGCTTCTCTCCTTGATTAATTTCCATCCATTGCTTCTTGTCCTGCCCTCAGGTTCCCTGGAGAATAGATTGGCACCCTAACCCTAACCTGAATCCTTTTATTAAACTAGATCAGTGATGGCTAACCTTTTTGGGCTCCTGTGCCAAAACTTGTGCGCACGCTCGCACTCGTGTGCCAGCACCCAGAAGGCAATGCACGCCCCCCCTGCCCCCTATGCATGCACATGTAATCCCCACCCACTCACCCCCACCGCTCCCTTACCTGCACTGCTCCTCACAGCTGATTTTTGGCCAGTTTGAGGCCTTTTTCAAAGGCTTTTGAGGAAGGCTTCTGCAGGCTTTGTAGGACGAAAACTAGCTCCTTCATCACTTCTGGTATTTTCAGAAAAACACAGTGACAAAATGGGGCTAGTTTTCGGCCTGCAAAACCTGCAGAAACCTTCCTCCAGCCTTTGGGAGGCCGATAAGAGGCCTCAAACCGGCCGAAAATCAGCTATGAGACACACACATGCCCAGTGAGGTAAGTTTGCCTGCAGCTCGCATGCCAGCACAAATGGCTCTGCATGCCACCTGTGGCACATGTGCCATAGGTTTGCCATCGTGGAACTAGATATACCCAATTCCAGCAACCGTTCTTTATATGTTTTAGCCTCCAGTTCCCTAATCATCTTTGTTGTTCTTCTCTGTACTTCTTCTAGAGTCTCAGCATCGTTTTTTACATTGTGGCGATCAAAACTGGATGCAGTATTCCAAGTGTGGCCTTACAGTTTGGAAGCTAAAACATATAAAG